TGGTCTGATGGAATATGATTGAATAGTAAATTCAGGAATCTGTTAAAGGAGGTTTCTTTTCACCATTGGAGTTTATGGAACATTTGCTAAGCTGTTGCAAAGGGAAAGGAAAATGAACTCCATCATCTGAAAAACGATTGAAGTGGAAGACGTTTTTATAGATGAATCAGGATAAAAAATTTCGCAATCAAGTAACATTTTTTCCTACTCCTTAAACAGTGTCTCAGATTTCTTTTTCTCAACAAAATATTTAGACAAGATTCTCTACTTGACAACTTAAAAAGTTGAGGAATGGAGATGAGGATGATGGGCCTGAATTCACTAACAATAAAAGAGATAGAGCTACAAGGCATGGATTTGGACTCATCACCCAGGTAGTTTGCTTTACAATCAAGGTATTGAGTTTCTTTCCAATACTAAGTAGCCTAAGACATATTTTCACAACACAAAATATGTCCTGAAGAAACACTTCTCTTGTGTTTTCATCTCTAGTCCACGTTCTGTCCCCTCCACCCTCACCAAGAATCTTGCAAACCCTCCCTTTTCATGTCAATAAACATATTTTCTAAGTGAAATAAGTTTCAGGTAAGTTATAAATACCACTTTCATGGAAGGAAGGCTATGGGCTTTCACTTTCATTTCTTGATTTTAATTATACTTTGAAAAACTCTAACATATTCTGCTTATAGTTTTAAAACATAAAAATAAAGGCATGAGCCTACTGTCATAGATTCCTCATGGAAGGAGGAAAAACATGGGACATTATATGCTGATTTCCATTCCAGATAAAATAATGTTCAAATTTGATTTCTCTGGAATTTGGAAAAATTGTTATTTTAATTCCCGTCCTCTGAGACCCTTTCAAAAACAGTAGTACTTTTGTTGAGATCAAAATCGTAAGGTTTAAAATATCTAATGAAAAATTGTTTACAATGATTTTTAAGAGCTTTTTCCCATCAATCACAGCAGTGCCACTTTCAAGATGTGCTTTCTAATACAGCTCTCTGTGAATTTATGACACACTCTGCAGCTTGACTTTCACATAATGAGTGCTCAATTTTTCACTTGGATCATGAAAAAAAAAGAAAATATGAGAGATAAACTGCATTATGCAATTCAGATTCCACACCATTGACTGTTCCACCAAAACTATGAATGGGTTAGTCATTTCCTGCAATTATTAATGACCTTAGTGTGATCTCTTGATGAAAGTCATGCTATGTCCCAGTCAATTATTTTTCAGGTCTTTTGGGAATTTTTACTTTTTGGTTTCTTGGACCAGTTCTGTATTGAACTAAATTAGTTAATTTATGTTTGCTATTTCAGCTCTAAGTTACATATAACCCATTTTTGTGTGTTTATCTGGAAACAATCCATTATTGACTTAGTTTGGAGTAGACATCATGCACTAATGTTAGTCATCAGAAATATGCCCTATTTAGAGAAATTTTCCATTCACTTTGTTTTTTAAATGCACTGACTACTTTGAAACGTCCTTATCTACAAAGAACACAGAATAGTTTCATCCTCTAAGAATTCATCATGAGCCACTGGAGAATTTGATATATCCTCGTGCATCTAACGTTACTGCCTGAAGTAAATTTCAGCTTAAACCCTTAAATGATTAAATTAAATTCACCCAACCATTTACTTGCAAAGTTTGAAGATCTATAGCAAAACTGATAGTTCCATTTTGTAAGAAAAAATATGACCTCACTTGCTGATCTAATACACACACACACACACACACACACACACAATTTCAAGTTTCACCAATGTTTACAGATGCCTAATTTTTTAATTAGTATTAATTATTGTGTCCTTGTTACAACTTTATCTTTCTCATTTTCACTCTTCAACCTCTTTATTGTTCCTTGGGCCAATCTACTGCTGTATGCCAAGTACATTTCTTAGGGCAACTGCAAAACTTTTTGGAATGGGAACTTCTTTCCCTGTTGTTCTTCCTTTTTGTTCCAAGGAAATGTAAGTTGAAGAATGAAGACATAAGATGCATCTGACTGAATATTCCATCATCAGAAAAGATTATCAAGACTTTACTGGAAGTTCATTTTAACTCTTGTGGGGAGAAAAAGCCAGAAAAGTTTTTCTTGCTCTAGAAAAGTAGAGTTTTATTTATTTTATTTTTTATTCTTTGTGGCATTGGGAATAAAACTTGTGCATGTTAGGCAAGTTCTCTACCACTGAGCTACACTCCAAGTTTTAAATAGGATTTTCAGTTTCTTGCATTTTACATAGAATCCTGATCAGGTAGCCACAATGAATCGATTCCCACATAGTGTGGTTACCTCCCCATCTAAACACTGAAATGTAATCTGGAATAAAACAGAAGTGGCATCACACGAAATCAGAAAGGATTTTCCCTTTGTCCTAGAATGGATTATTACCTAATGTATCCATCCTAGAGAGTACATGGGTTCTGCGTTTCTACTTTATTTTAAGTAATAATAATAGTGTTTTGGAATAAAGTCAACCCATGGATGGGGATTGCTAAAGTTCAGGTATTGAAGACCTATTAGTCTTCTAGGTATTTACAACACACCAGAAAAGATATCTTGAAAAGAAATCTTCATACTTAACCAGAGAAAAAAGCCAGAATGGAAGTAGCTAACAGCTAGGTTTGATACTTACTTCAAACAAATAGTTCTCCAGAGATTCAGAATCAATAAAGTTGTGGTGTGTGTGTGAATGTGTGTGTGTGTAAATGATATGCAGTTTTGAGTCCAGAGGGAATCTGAGGAAAAATTTCTTCACTCCTCAGAGGACCCCAGTCTTTTAAGACCTTCAGCTGATTAGAAGATAATCTGTTTTGGGGCCCTCACTCCCACTACTGCAACACTCCACTCTATAAATATAAGGAAAGGCATGGCTTTTCTGTAGTCTATAGACGAGTAATATCATATCTTCAGAACAAAACCATGAATAAATCACATTTTCTTTGATAATTTTAAATAGCTACTGCAAAGCACCTGCTTTATGAGCCATGCTTCATTGTTTCAGCCACTGTGTGAGGACTTATTGGTCCTAATTTATTATTCTATCCTTCACCAAGCCCAATTATGTGCCTTCTCAGGTCATAAGGTATTGTGGTGGTAAACCAGCCTTTTGCTTGAAAAGTGAGGCTATAAACTAAATAGCCTCTTAGGTCTCCTTCCTCTGACTTACGGGAAGAGATAGTTCCAGGGAAACATGGTGGGGAGAGAAATGGCAGAGGACAATGGTGGGGAGGTCACAAGGTGGAATCACTGCTTAGTGATAGATGTATGTGTTGCTGATAACGAGTCAAAACCAACCTAATTTGTATCCAGCAGACTCTTAAAAAGGTCATAGAAGTAACTAAGAACAGAGTAGGGTCGAAGAGCATGAGAAGAAGATTAACATTAAACAGGGATGAGAGGTGGGAGGGAAAGGGAGAGAGAAGGGAAAATGCATGGAAATGGAAGGAGACCCTCAGAGTTATACAAAAGTACATACAAGAGGAAGTGAGGGGAAGGGGAAAAATAATACAAGGGGGACA